GTGTGCTTGTGCATCCCCACATCTCTCTCCACCTGCTCTTATTTTCAGGTCTCAGTTACTCATCTTCTCCACATGCCTTCCAGATAAGGGTTCAAAAGACACATTTTCTCCAAGAAAGCATGCAGGACATTCCTGGACCAAACTGCCCTGGGCTCTGCAAAAAAGCATTTTCTCTGATAAGCATGTAGGTGGGTTTTGCCCCATTTGTCTTTCCTGAATCTTTTCTTCCTAACTTAGTGGAGGGCTAGGTGTAGACAGACTGATAAGCAGTAGGTTTTGGTCTTAGGAAAGCAATCTGGTTTGTGCATGTGGTTCCCCCACAGGCCAGAAGAGTCTCAGAACCTGACACTAGGGTTATGAGCCACCCAGCGAGGGTGCTGTGAACCAAACCTGGGTCTTCTGCAAGAACACTATGTGTTCTTAACTCCTGAGCCATCTCTCCAGCTCCTCCACCTCATACTATTATTATACAGCTCACTCACTCAGCTAGGTTGGCTGTGCAGCGAGCTCCTGTGCTCACTGGCCTCGGCCCCCACAGTGCTGGGATAACAGATGCATGCTGCTGTGTCTGGCTTTTTGCTGGAGTTAGAGTTGTTAGCTGCCATGTGATGCCACGTGAGCGCTAGGAATCCAACTCGGGTCCTCTGAAAAAGCAACACAAGTCCTTAACCACTGAGCCATCTCTTTAGCCCCAACCCCAGACAATTGGTTTTATGAAGTGTTGCCGATGGAAACCAGAGCTTTGTGCACACCAGGCCAGCACTCTACCAACGGAGCCACATTGCCAGCCCCACCGAAAAACAATGGGACTTTCCAAACTGAGCCTGAACAAATCCTCTCATCTCTTCAAGGGAACCACAACAGACATTGAGTTTCCACATCAACAACTCAAAGTCCCAAAGCCTGCTTGCTTTCACCTGGCCTGCAGCTTGAACAAGGACTTCAGGTCTCTCCAGTGAACCATAAATTCAGCCCCACTTTCTAATCCAAAGGCGCTCATGTGCAGCATAAATCAGAGGGGCTGGAAGAAAGGGACGCACTTTTAGCAGTCTCAGAGACTGTCAGTTTGACCTACTCTTCATTAGAAACAGCTCTGGCATGGTTAATACAAATGAAAACACCTTCCCAAGACAGAAAAACTTCCAAAAGATCGAGCTGATTGATTTTTTGAATTTGTTCTAGTTTACATAAACTTTTCATATATAAGCCGCTCTGGTCATAAACGTCTAATCGGCTCCCAGGATCTGAAACGTAATCAAGGATCCCATTACCTGGCGCTCCATGGGTCTGATTCCTCCACAATTTTCATTCCTATTTGTAGTCTTTGCCAGACAATAAAGCCGGTTCCCTTGCAAACCCTTCCCCAGATGGTTAGATCATTATCAGTCCATTTGTCGGCTGGCTCCCATTTACAGACCTCCTGGAACTCCAGCAATGGCGCTAAGACAAGTCAAGAGCACTTTTGGATGGGAGGCCCCTCTCCAAAGCTTTGACCTCATTTATTCTTGGACCTTGAAAACAATTGCCGTGGTGTTTTTCAGCAATTTTCAATTCAAATAAACTTGATTTGTTTCCAAACAAGACCATGGTCCCTATCAGTGGCAAGATGAGGGAAGGGAGGGGCATTCTGAGCAGGGAGATGGTGGAGAAAGAAGAAAGAGACATTCCAAAAGTCAGGCCTACAGCTAGGGTCTGATGATGAATATGAGGCCAGTTTTTACAAACACATGACTGTTCAGAAATCAGAGCTCCATCCACTATGAGCCAAGATGTTCCACCGTGGACATTAAAAGTAGTAACCTTTATCTTGTGCAGTGTAGGGCAGGTGGGTGAGGCAGCTTCCTCGCCTGTCAGATGGGCCATCAGTGACTCCCCTATGACAGAGGAGGATGAGAGGAGTGCAGCAGATTTAGTTCAGCCTACTGTTACGTGGTCCGGGAGTCTTCAGGAGGAGACCTAGACACAAAGACCCTGGGAAAGCTGGTTACATTCATGTTTAGGTCTGAGGACTGGGCCAAAGAGATGATCTGATTTGGGAGGGCTGGGTAAGGAAACTCAGCAGTGCGTGCCCACACTGTCTTGGCCTGTCTTTGTGGCATTCCTTCCACCGGGTGGAGGACAGACCCTCCCGCAGAGGTCTTTTGGTCCAGGCAGTCAAAGTAAACCAGAGAACCTTTCCAGCCAGCTCTTACAGGGGTAGTCAGGAGACAATTTCTAAGTTTCATGAGTTGTGCTTGGAGAGAGGGGTTCAGGATTCTATGCCTGTCTTGAAGGAGAGGGAGAAGTAGGAGAGAGAAAGGGCAGGATAAAGTCAGAAAGAGAAATTTTTTCTGTGGCTTTCCAGTGTCCTGTGGCTCAAAATAAGCAGCAAGCAAGCAACAGTGCCATGCTCTGAACACTGTTACTGGGCCCCAGCAGTAGAGGTGCTCACACACTCCACAACGGCCCAAACTTCCACCACTGTAGGGCGGGGAGGGGGGGGGGTTCTCATTTCTCACATCTGCAGAGATCACTGCTAGCCACTCAGAGACCTGGGGGTTCACCTTGCCCTGACTTCCACAGCCTAGGAGCTACCAAGCCCTGTGCACTCCACCTCCTTAGCACCCAAGATGCCTGTCCCTCTCTCCCAGCTCTGGCACAGACTTGGGAATCTTAGACTTCCCATGAGTCTCAGCACCTGCTCTTGTTTGTCTATGCATGCCACCACACCTGCCCTTCCCACGGCCGAGCTCCCACAGGACAGCTTGGCAAATAAACAATGGGTTCCCTCTCATTAGATTAGTTTCCCCACCCACACCTGAGCCCGGCAAGCCCTCTGGATCTTTCTGGTTTTCTCTAATACGATCCTAGTATGTGTTCCCTCAGTGACTCTGCTCTCTTGGATCTTTCTGGTTTTCTCTAATATGATCCTAGTATGTGTTCCCTCAATGACTCTGTTCTCTTGGTCTGTAAGTATTCTAAGGTCAAAGCTGTGTTTGTCTATACATGTCCTCATCTGCAACTTGAGAAAAAACAAAACCTAAGCCACAGGATAACTATTAAATGAGTTAATGTGAAGTGAGACTTTAGCCTACTAACTGGTATATACAAGGGTGGTACAAACCTTGCTTATAATAAAGTGTGTGCTTGGATCAGCAAGACAATTAAGTGGAGGCAGGGACCTGCAGGATGACCTAGTCCAATTAGAGGAGCTAAATGGTTCAAGGAGAGACGTTGGATGCTCAAAACTTGTTCTCTGACCTGCACACGCAGCCTATGACACAAACATGCACGTATCTATAACCACACACAATAAATCCACTACAATGGATAATTTCATAAACTATATGCTCCACAAATACATGCAAAATGGACTCGCCAGTGAAAGGATTCACCAGTCCAGGTCCTGCCCCATGTACCCCAGCCAGCTGCAGTTTGTAACAGAATGAAGCAGGGCTGTGTGGAAATCAGTGCCAGAGAGGAAGCAGCCAGTCTTGCTGTTCTTCTTCCCCGCCATTGACAGTCCAAACACATCTTTGCCTCCCTGGGGTTTGGAATTCATGCTGCTGTGTTGTGGAAGAACTAACTGAGGCAAGGTGATGTGGATATAATAGGTGCCGGAGTGAGGTATCACAGATCCTGTTACTAGATGCTGTCTTCAGCAACTAAGGTGCTCTGCTTAGAAAGCCTGGTCTGCTTTCTTTTCTTTTCTTTCCTTCCTTCCTTCCTTCTTTCTTTGTCTCTTTTTTTTTGAGACAGGGTTTCTCTGTGAAGCTTTGTGACTGTCCTAGAACCCTAGAAATCACTCTGTATACCAGGCTGGCCTCAAACTCACAGAGATCCACCTGCCTCTGCCTCCTAAGTGCTGGGATTAAAGGTGTGCGCCACCACCGCCTGCCTCTGCTTTTATTTCTGTTGTAACGAAATATCTTGGTCAAAGCAACACAGGGCAAGGGAGTTTATTTCTTCACAATTCCAGCCCGTTACTGTGGGGAAGTCAAGGCAGGCACGTAAAGTGTCACCCCCACAGGCAGAAGCAGAAAGAACAAATGTGGGAATCCCTTCTCGCTCACTCAGATACCCTTCTTCACTCTTTAGCAGTCCAGGACGCAGACCAAGAACAACGCTCCCCAAGTTCAGGACCAGTCCTCCATACTGGAAACCACGCCAGAGATAGCAAGACAGCCCTCACAGCTACTCTAGATGGCTTATAGGGAGACAATATAGGCCAACCCAGTGTAGACAAGTTCTCAGCTGAGGATCTGCGGTCATTCCAGGTCATTCTAGGTTAAAGCAAGTTGACAAATAAAACTAGCTGGTATGGCACCAGACTTGCAAATGAGTACCAGACCAGATGCCTCAGAGAGCTTCACGTGCCAGGTGGTCTCCCCTAGCTAATATGTACACGGGAAATGCTATCTTACATGGCTAATAGGGTGTGCTTTCTATTCCTCTGCACCGAACTTCAGACTCCTAGGGTCCAGGCTAGTCATGGACTCCACTACATGCTGGTCTACAAACAGCCAGTGCACAAAAGGAAGCCCAGACTTCAAGTGAGTTTTTAGAAGCCATACCAACATCTCCATCAAAGGCTAAAGATAAAAAATGTGCGTGTGGATGAGCCCAACCCTGTGAGATCCTATGATCTCATAGTTTCCCCAGTTTATCAGCCTTTCTAAAGGCTTAGATAGCATCATCACATGGTGCCACAGCATGGATCTCATTCCTCCTTCCCTGTCACAGGAAGGGGCTTCTTCCCCTCCCCCCGCCGAAGCTGACATCTCAACTTGTGCCTAGACCCATGTGCCTTCACATCCACACCACATCACAATCTACCACGATACACTTGTTGATTCTCACCCACTCACTCGTGAATTTTGGAAACAGGCACTTCACTTGAAAACAAATAATTCTAACAAACACATCAACAGAAACTTGGTCTTTGCACAGTTCAGACGATAGGATGTGATGTGGAACTTCATCACGGGTGATGAAGAACGCTGGGGATATGGGGAACCCACCTGTTTTTCTGTGGAGCAAACTGGATCTGTGCCTGCAGATGCTGAGGTCCTGGGCTGGGCTCAGGGCTGAGGAGACTGAGGTGCTCTGACCTGCTGGGCTTCCGGGAATGAAGGCTGAGTTCTGGGGCAGCCTAGCGTCACTCTTCTCCGTGTTCAGTAAGAGGAGAGCATCCTGAGTTTTCTTCTTTTCCTTTTTTAACATGTTGACCAGGATATCTGAAATCTGATTTAAGGATTTAGTCACCCCTGAGAGGTAATCACGATCAGACAAACATTCAAAAAGAAATCTCTATCTCCAACCAGACAATTGCAACCAGTGCACTTTGGAGCAGGCTGACCGCAGGAGGACAGCAACTCCTTGGATCTGTGTGTGCAGATGTGGGCGGCTTAGGAGGGAACCAGCGTTTCATGGTGGCATAACGAAAACTATCAAACTGCAAGGTCTTTAAGATGCTGGGTAATGCTTGTGTGAAAGAGCAGAATGGAGCCTGGGGTACAGGATTTGGCAGACTGCTTGTCTAGCAAGCAGAAAGCCCTGAGTTGTTCTGAGCACCGCGTTAAGTCAGGTGGTGCAGCGCATGCCTAGAATCCCAACACTCTGGGGTAGAAGGAAGATCAGAAGTTTAAGGCCATCTTTGTCAACTTAATGACTTTGGGGACATCCTGGGCTACATGAGACCCTGTCTTCTTTTCAGGACCCCTGCAAAAGGCTGGCACAGAGGGTGCCGATGCTCGCCGGTGCTGGGGGTTGGAGAAAGGCTGACACCTGAGGATTTCCGGTCACTGTGACCAGGCAAGTTGGCTATCTTCAACTTCAGTTAGAGACTTGTCTCAGAATATGAGGTGGAGAGTGACGGAGGAAGACGCCCGATATCAACCTTTGGCATTCAGGAGAGCACGTTTGCTCATCACACTGACACACGGGAGTCTTAGAAAACACAGGAATAGGACAGGGGAGAGGGCCACAACTCAGGACGGAGGAGGAGCCCGGTTTACACACGATTTTGAACATGTAACATGAAAACACTGACTTCCATATTCTTCCTCAGGCTAATTTCTAGATCTTGTTGGTTTCTAGGTGGCCAATCAGTTCTCCCTTAGAATATTCTATGTGGCTTCCTAGCTTGCCTTGTTAGAATGTCCTGCCCAGAGGCGTCCCGGCCTCTCAGAACATCTGTGTCCCATCATGTGCGTTCCAGGTGTGTAACCCGTGGTTTTACACACTGAGCTCACTCGCCGACCTTTCTCTCCATTCATGTCACCGTTCTGAAGCCAAGTCTCAGGGTGCAGGAACCTCCTGACTTCTTCACAGTGTGAAGTACCTCGTGTCGCCCCTGTGAACAGCCTACGGGATCCAGCACAGTGAAGAGGGTGGGGGTGGGTGCACGTATGTTTCTCGTTCACTCTCACTCCTCTATAAACACATGCGAGCCAGCCTGGACTGGTCCCTCTCTGCCACATCTCATTTCCTTCCTCCTCAATGTGTAGATGTTCATAAGCCCTGGCGAGTATTGAGTGGTTGGTAGGAGTATTTAGGAGGAAGATCCCAGTCTAGGACCAAGGCCAAGAAAAGAAACAGAACACAGACTGGGCTAGGGCCAGACCTGAGCCGTCCCTGGAGATGGATGGGGTAAGAGAGAGGGAAGGAATGCAGGGCGACACGGCTGTGGGCAGCACTCGGAGACAAGGGCGTGCGTGGGGTGCAATCCGCAGTTGGACTCACCGCTGCTGGCTGGGTGATAAAGTAGCTAAGACTGACTTGACTCTGACATGGGGCCTGCTAAGCCTCAACTAAAATTAGAGACGGAAACTAATGAGGCAGCTCGTCTACTTTGTTTGGACTGGTTTTTACCTCTTTACCACTGGCTTTCCTTTGTGTGGATTATTTGTGCATATGTAAGCTCCTCTCTCTGTGTATGTGCGTGTATGTGTGTGTTGTATGTATTTGTTACATATGTATGTGTGTGCATGTGTGAGTGCTAGTGTCTACAAAGTCCTGAAGAGGGCATCAGATGCCCTAGAGCTGGGGCCACAGGAGACGGTGTACCACCTCACGGGGGTGCTTGGGCATGTGTGGTAGGAAATAAACTTGGTTCCCCCTAGAAGAGCAGCAAGTGCTTTTAACTGCTGAACCTTATTTCTAGTTCCTCTACACACTGAAAAATTGTATAAAACATGAACATACAGCATGATATTTGTTCGTGGGTCCCTAACCCCATGTTGGGGACTGAATCCAGGCCTGTGTCTTCAGCTCCTGCAAGATCAGAATACACATTTAACTGCTTAGTCACCTCCCCAACTCCTGTGTAGATAAGACTTTTTATGCATTTTGCATAACAGCTATACTTAGTAAATTTTTAAATGAATAAAATATGTTTATAAAAATTTGGCAAGTTATTTCTTGTGAGTGTTTAAAGACTATATATGTCATGAAAATGTCAAATCTTTTACAAGAAGATTGAAAGGTAAAAATAAGGAACAGTACTGAAGAAATTTCCAGAGTCCTAAGGTCTAAGCAGCCCAGCTGGGACTCTTTAGAAGTAATTGCTTCTGTCTGCACCTGGGCCCACCAGCAGCTACTGCCCTGAGCACCCAGAGGACACCCGGAAGCACCTCTGGGAGTGGAGACCAAGGCTGTCTTGAGCACTCAATCTTTGCTCGCTGCCTAACTTGGGAACATCTGTATGTGGGACTCGGGACAAGAGATCTGCCCTTTAAATAAAAAGTCACGTCTAAGCCAACTCTCTGTTTCTCATAAACTAAATACCATATGCCATCTTTTTTCAGTCATCTTTTGAGTTTCACCCACACACCAGCCACAAATTCTGGGCCACGGTGAGGCTGTGGTCAACATGAGGTCTGGTCAGCTGGCTAAAGATAACCAGCTAACTTACTGACTCTGGACTGAAAACACAAAGCCCACCATAGAGCAACCAAAATATATTTGAAAAAGATTTAGTATTAAGAGTTGGTATGGTACCAGCAAGAGCTGAAATGCTCTTTGTAAGAATAACTGCACCAAGGCCTGAGAGGCAGATCAGCTGGTCAAGAGGCTTACCACCAAGTTTGACAACCTCAGTTAGATTCCCAGGTTTCATGTAGTAGAAGCAGAAAACTGACTGTCCTCTGACCTCTCCATGTGTGAACACACACACACACACACACACACACCACCACCACCACCACCACCACCACCAACAACAACAAAACCAAGCTGAAATGCTAAAGTCAGATGCTTGCTTGAGCTCTGCAGGTGTGACCCTTCTCAGTGTGAAGCAGGCTGGGACAGGCTGGGACACTGAGGAATGCAGGCACACCACGGGGCCAGGAGTGGGGAATCCGGCAGTCTTTCACCCTTCCCAGAAAGGATACTGATTTCATTGTCCCTCTGCTTGAGCAGGTCTCGGAGCTTTGTATGTTCTTCATCCTTCAATGGCTCTTGACATGCCTGGTGTGTGGTTTCGGAGGAGACTGTGTTCTTCATGCTGTTCTTGTCATTCAACAGCTTCTGCAAGTTGGGGGAAGAGCCTACTGAGCATGCCTACATCCTAAGTTTCTTTGCTGCTATGCTGGTCCTGGTACACACTGGTCATGCATGTCTGCCCTAACCCTTCCCTTTCAGGCAGTTACCGTATTGGTGGGATATGCTTTCTTCCTTCTCCCTGCCTTTCCCATTTCCCTCTCCCTTAGCTTCTCGCTCTTTCAAACTCCCTTAAATAGTATTCCCTCTAGACTCCTTCCCATTGTTGTGAATTTGTTCAAAATTGAAGCATTCCCTCCCAGAGTGAGGAGGGAAGCTCTATGACTTAGGAAGCAGAGCAAGAAGCAAACAAAACTTCCAAGGCACAGGAAGCTCCTGAAACTTACAAGTCTCAGGAGGTCCTTCCCCCAAGGTTAACAAGCAGCAGTCAATGACTGGAGGGAGACTTGTAATGTGGCCTGCAAGTGGCAAAGGAACTCAGCCTATGCAGTTCTTCTGAGTCATCACCCATGCTGGGGTGGGACTTTTAATGACACATGTGCTCTGTAACCTTAATAAACTCATTGGTTTACTCAAATAGACTTGGCAGAAGAACCCATCCGGTCAGTTAGTGCTAGATAGATGGTTGTTTATATCTCTACAGAAAAGGGTACAAAATGCTCCCTTATCTTACAGTATTTTCGCAAAATGTACATATTACACATGAAAACTGGCAACATTCCCACTCCCTTATCACAAAAACAAAACTTCTGAGGCTGAGGAAAATTAGTAAATTATTCAGATAAATAAAAATACTGAAAAAGAACCTGGACACAGTCATCTTTAAACTGTTTGAAAATATGTGTGTTCACATTTTGTGTTCATGTGTGTGTGCACATTTGTGTGTTTTGTCATAGACATATTCTGGGCACAGGACAGAAAGACTCCTGGCAAAGGAATCAGGAGTCCATGGCCAGAGTTTATTTGTAAAGCTAGATACAATCCCTGCAGCCGCCCAGTGATAGTCACATCTGGGTTGGACACTCAGGCTGGTTTCTGCATGTGTGAAGCTGGATCCTGGTGCTTCTCGAGTTGGTCAACAGTAAGAGTTTTATTGCAGTTGGAGCATGGCAGGACATGGCTGAGACTGGAGGAAACAATGAAATTTACCTTAAAATGATGAAAACAGTGATGAATTTTACGCATATCGGCGCCAACTTCCAGTCTACTCTCTGGATCTTGGTCTTCCAAAAAGGATGCTATCAGTTTTTCCAGCCTAAAAAGCATACAATCATGAGAAGAAGGGCAAGCTAGAAACCCGGAGGCCTGATGGCTTCTCTGCAGCAGACCACTGAAGCGCAGGATACTGGGCCTGCATTTTCTTAGAATTCACTACTTTATTTGACTGTGAAAGTGAAGGAGGAAAGCATATTGATAAAGTGAAATCTGCAATGATACATTTACTTGGCTAATTTCCGATGAATGCTCACATGCAGGTTTCCATATAAAAGCTACCTGAGGGCTGGAGAGATGACTCAGTGGTTAAGAGCTCACTGCTTTCCAGAGCATCTGAGTTGGGTTCCCAGTGCTGTTTAGTGGCTCACAATCACCTGTGACTCCAACTTATGGGATCCAAAGACCTCTTCTGGCCCCAGAGGGCACCGCGTATATGGGTGCATTCATGAGCACGCATGCACATACACACAAATATATAGAAAATTTTAAAAGTCATTTGATTTCTATAACCTACCCATTCTAGCCACATAGAAACTTTTGCCTGTGTGTGCCAAGCTGCCACATTGTTAAAGTATAAAAAATAAAGAATTCCTAGATTAGCTGCCGCCCCCAACAGTGCTCCTTCAGCCATTCCCGGTGAACCTGTGGCATCCACAGTGGTTCTTCCCAATCTTCCCATGCTCCCCACACCTGCCACTGAACTTCCCCTGTGGACCAGTGAGGCGCCTTCTCACCAAACTGAGAAAGCCAAGCTGCAGCTGCAAGCCGTGCCTTCTCTCCTCCTCCAGGTAATAGTGCTGCCTCACGGGGGTCCGGGGTTGGGGGCTCAGGCTCACTCACCTCTGTCCCTAACTCAGAACACTCTTCCTTCTTCTCAAGGCTCTCTCTCCCACTGGGCTTCCCCTGACATGTTCATCACTATTCCACACAGACTCTCTTCTCTCCACTTTCAATAATTTTCATGCTCTCCTTATTCTGTTCCTTTGGGGAGGAACAGACAACCACTATACCCTTGAGACAAGGTTTCCTGTAGCTTTGGAGCCTGTCCTGGAACTAGCTCTTGTAGACCAGGCTGGCCTTGAACTCAGAGATCCTCCTGCCTCTGCCTGCTGAGTGCTGGGATTAAAGGCGTGCACCTCCACTGCGGGCCACTTTCACATTCTTAGTTTGTGTGTGTGCTGCTATGGTGAACCGCTCTGACAAAAGCACATAAGGGGTGTTGTGGAATATCACTTGAAAATGGGTTACATTTACTTATGCAGTGGAACATTTGTTTAATGATGCAAAGATATATTATTACATTATTTTATGTTGCATTTGTTTAACTCTGTGAAGCTGTGTTACTTTGCCTGTCTAAAACACCTGATTGATCTAATAAAGAGTTGAACAGCCAATAGCAAATCAGGACAGGGATAGGTAGGGCTGCCAGGCAGAAAGAATAAACCGAAGAAGGAAGAAGAGGGGAAGAAAGAAAAGGAGAAAAGAATATGAAGGGCAAGTAATTTAGCCAGTAATGGAATAAGACTCCATGTGTTATTTGGGAGCTGGTGGGGGCCTCCAAAGAGTAAAAGAATATAACCTCATTCCCCCTCCCTCTCTCCCTCCCTCCCTCTCTCTCTCACTCTCTCTCTCTCTCTCTCTCTCTCTCACACACACACACACACACACACACACCCCTAAATAATAAAAATAGTCATTATTTAACAACCACATTCTCTATTCTCCTAAAAATAGCAGGGAACTTAATCGGAGAATACTTAAACAATATTATGAAAAAAACCCGCAGATACAAAACTGCCATTTGGACTAACTGTAAATGTTTAAAATTATTTGTGGGTCTGTGTATGCATGTATGTGGGTGGGTGACCACAGAAGCCAAAAGAGTATGGGTGGTGGCACACACCTTTAACCCGGTACTAGAGAGTAATATAAGGTGGAGGAGACAGCTCTCAGACACAGTCTTTCTGAGATTCCTGGAGGCAGGATCGTCACTTCAGACTGAGGTAGAGGTTAAGAGTCAGTGGCTGGCTGTTATGCTTTTCTGACCTTCGGGTTGAACTCCAATGAACTCTGGGTTATTATTAATTGTGCAACATTTAGCCCCGATCCTTTTAGAGGTGATGGTACCAACAGAAAGGATCAGAAGTCCCGTTCTGGGGACTGGGGTGGGTCAGCCCAAACTTCTCTTTGTCCCACTACTCCCTTATTTCAACTTATTTATCCGCCCACTGTGAGCTGTTTGCTGATAGTTATAAAGATTGGAAGCAATGGGCAGCTTTCTGTATGAAGACATCATCTTATTTCTATGCTTTTGCAACAGAAGAAAATAATAGTAATTTATTAAATGTTTAAGGGAATAATGACTGTCCATGGCCAAAATGAGAGATAAAAGGAATATAAATTAATTAGTCACCTGTATTGACAACTCCTTCTATAAAGTCTACATGCAGCATTTGAACTCCTTGTTTGCTGCAGGCAAACACTATGTAAATACCATACACAATCCATGATACCTGAGGGATTAGCTCAGAGGAAAGACGACAGTGGCATTGTGGGTTAGTGAGCAGAGATGCTAGATAGGAATGGAACAGGCGGCAGGAGAATGAAAAAGACAATCACACTTGGGCAAGAAAAATGACAGCAGAAGCCAGGTAGGATAGGCCGAGAGGGCTTGGCAGAGGCTGATACTGCTAAGACAGAGGCTAAAGTGCACAGGCAGCTTCCAGAAGAAGGCAACAAAGACCCAGGTAAAGGACTGGGCACCAGAAGCTGGGATGTGGAAAAGCCCCACAGAGAGAGCCCTTGAGGCCGGTGCAGAGACCGAGGCTGGGGAGGGAGGGGAGGGAGTCGTATGAGAACAGGTCCTGGGAAGACAAGGCCAAGGGAAAGGAACAGTGCTGGCAAACAGGAAAGCAGGGGAGAGAAAGGCTTAGGTGAACAGAACCAAGCACACATCTAGGAAGAAAATCAAAAGACTTAAAGGTCAATTGGCGAGGTCTGCCCTCCCAGCTGCATACCCCGCAGCTGAAGTCTCCTCAGGGTTCCTACCTGCCCAGCTGCTCCTGAGCTGAAGGAGAGGAAGAGGAGCCTAATTCGTACTCCACATCTCTCCTTCCATAGCCATGTCGGGCATAAAACTGAATTCGTTGACAACACCGAAGTTTCAAATATACAATTCTCAGCTTACTTCTTCAGCAAAAAATTTAAATCACAGTCTTGTTTTAGAGTTTTTAAATGCACTATACAAATGCATCTATACTCAGACAGAAAAACTTGTAAAAAGTGTTGAAAGTCAGATTGAAAAGATTTTGTGATGTAAAAGTGTGGAGTAAACCTGCAGTGGTTTGAATGGGAACAGCCTCCATTGGCTCACACATTTGAATATTTACTCTCCAGTTGTTGGAACTCTTTGGGAGGGATTAGGAGGTGTGGCCTTGTTAGAGGAGGTGTGGCATTTTTAAATTTTAAATGCACTTAAAATTATCATTCCCAATTATCTCTCTTCTCTGCCTGTGGTCGCTCTCATATGGCTCCAGCACCATGCCTCCCTCCTGCCAATCCTAGCCGTGACAGATGACAGCCATGGACTCACCCTCTTGAACTCTTTCTTCTGTGGGTTGCCTTGGTCATGGTGCCTTACCACAGCAATAGGAAGGTCACTTTTCCATGTGATAACAGTCTGCAACTGTTTAGAAACACGTTCACACAATACTGAATCTGAAGCAAATTTATATAAGTCAAATCACCCAGTATCATTAAGTTCTAGTTATTGAATTAAATCTGGGTTTATAAGGGAACTACACCCTCAGATGCAATATAATGCCAATAAAGAATATAACAACTTAATACTTAGAAGTTAAACAAACAAAATTCTGTTGCTATGGTTCAATTGCTTACTCCATAGCTCAGCTTTTGCCCGCTGATGGCTCATCCTGCTCAATCACTGTTTGTGGAGACTATCAGAAACCAGTGTCAGGTGGAGGCGAGGTTTGCTATGCTCACAAGTGCTAATTCATACCACAGGGCTTCTTAAGGATGCAGGAGATCTGGTGTTCTCTTTTGATCTCCATGAGCATTACACTCATGTGTACAAACCCATGGGTGCATGCACACACACAGACACACATACATGCACCCACACACATACATGCACACACACTTATCACATACACATATATGCAGCACACACAAACATACACACAATATAGGCACTCACATACATACATGCACACATATGCACATACATACACACATACACACATGCATACACACTCAGAGATACAAAGCTGCTTAGTTTTGTCAACTTGGCACACACTAGAGTCAGTGGGGAAGGGTCACCTCCATCAGACTGGCCTGTTGGCAAGTCTGCGGGGACATTCTCTTGATGGAGGATTAATATGGGAGTACCTAGCTCTGTGGGTGGTGCCACCCCTGGGCAGGGGGTAGATAAGAAAGCAGGCTGAGAAAACTGTGGGGAGCCAGTCAGTGCAGCCCACAAACTCTGCTCCAGTTCCTGCCTCCACTCCCCCCAATAATGAACTACACCCTGTAAGCCAAGTTAACCGTTTCCTCCCCGTGTTTTTGGTCAGTGTTTTATCACAGAGAGAAGGCAAACTAAATTAGAAATACATTAAAGAATCAAAATAAGTCCTTAAACTGGGTGGTGGTAGCGCACGCCTTTAATCCCAGCACTAAGGAGGCAGAGACAGGTGAATCTCTGTGAGTTTGAGACCAGTCTACAGAGCGAGTTCCAAGACAGCCAAGGCTACACAGAGAAACCCTATTTTGAAAAATCAAAAACTAAAACAAATAAATAAAAATAAATAAATCCTTAAAAAGATAAATATTAAAACAAAAGCTTAGAGCTCACAAAACCCAAGGAGCAACGGTGAAAACCCTGAAGACGCGAAACCGTCTGCTCCTGCAGACACACAGGGCTTCCTCAGCCAGGAGCAAGGATTTAAACATCTGATGAAAGAGCTGTCTAGACCCAAAGAGCCCGCTGTGTCAACTGTAATCCGCAAATTAATCCGTAAATGA